ACCGAGGTCCCGTTTATACATTAGAATGCACGTAAAAGATCCCTTGGCAGTTGGAATTCGATATAAGAGTAGGCGATAGTGCCGCTGCCCTGGCAAAATTTCCCTCATAGCATACTGTATTGCGTATGCCCGTCTTCATTAGCCCAGCATAGGAGCAGAACAGTAGGACGTTAAACCCCATTTCATTTCATTTCATTTACAATTTTTTTTTAGGATTGATTTTAGTAGTCTAGAGTGTCCTCTTTCACCCTTGAGCGTGTTGAGAAATTCAAGATGGCGTCCAAGACGGCCGCCATTTGAAATAATCCCCTATAAGCCCCATAGTATTTAGTCTAGGATGATAAGTTTGGTGTCCAATCGTATGTTTCCGGGGTCAAGGAATACACCGAAATCGTTCATTATGTTGTGAGATTATTAGATGGTAGTAAAATCCAAACTGCCAGATAATACAGCCATTTAACTGGTTAGCGGCGGTTGAGGGCCATTATTTCACCAAACCAAACTACATGCATATCTAGAGACAGACTCTATATTTCTTGATATAGGAGCACATGAGTGATACTATAACACCACATACATGCCTAACAGGGGTTCCAGGGCCACAAGGGCCGGCCCTGAAAAAGAGTGCAGTATTCAGTTTAATCCTTTAGTCGTGTTTCTGGCTGCAACCTGCGACAGCACAAGTGTAGCTACAAGCAAGCGTACCACATGGGGCGTCACTCTTGCATCCGCATTTGACGAGCCACATGACAGACTCCGGAGCAAGTTGACCGGTTATATTGTTCTCAATTAAGTATCCTTCTCCCAGCAATACAGTTCCGGCGGATTACAATCTTCCAGTGAACATCACACAATAGCTTGGTGATGAGCTCATTTTCCGTTCTCTGCAAATGCATCATTCGTTGAGCAAGACTACATGGTTTGGGTGGGGATGATGACGATACATTTCCAGTTTGGGATGGTAATGTATCGTCATCACCCCTACCTAAACCATGTAATATGGCTCCAACGTATGATGCATTTGTTATTAACGTATACAGTTTTCAGGTTCATCCATAGTTATTCGATATAGTAGTAATTCCATATAAATATGTGATTGTTCTTGATACGTCAGTCTTTTAGGTCTATCCGATCTAGTAGCATAAGGTACTAGTCGGTTATCCACGGTCCTGTAAGTGTATGTAGATAATTATTATTATAAGTTTCCAGTATTAAAGATTTGAAGAACTATTCCAGACTCTTGTAATATTTGAAGGACCCCGCGGTCACATTCCATTGACAAGTTTTTATACATTCAGCACGTCTACGAGACACAAGATAAACACACGAGATTTTTTACTAGTAACTTTAATCACTGGACTGGTCTCAAACACGCAGCCCCTGACCTGTACTAAATGTACAAGACTAAAATTACATTCACAGATTTAACAAGGAATTCCCTCTTTGATGTAAAAGACTGGACTACTTTCACTTTTTTTCTAAATTTATTATTGACGTTTGGTCACTTTACAGAGTAAAAGGCTTCACTCGTCATTAGAGGGATTGGGAAATTGGGGCCGTCTCCATAGTTTGCTGAAATTAGTTTTAAAATTTGCCCAGGGACAAGGCCTTTGAAACGTGTTTTAGCCGGCTACTCTTACCTCCCCACCCACCCCACCTCATAACAGTTATGTTACGACGAGCGTGGTGATCCCTTGCAAAATACAGTAGTCGTTCGGGTGGGATGAAAAACCGAGGTCCCGTGTACACATTGGCGTGTACGTAAAAGAACCATTAACAGTTGGAATTCGATATAAGTGCAGGCCGTAGTGCCGCTGTCCGGGTTAAATTACCCTCATAGCACACTGTATAGCGTATGCCCGTCTTCATTAGCCCAGTAGGGGCAGAGCAGTAGGCCGTTAAACCTCATTTCATTTCATTAGACTAGTCGGAGCAGGACAGTAGGACGTTAAACCCCATTTCATTTCATTACAATTCATCAGACTAGTCGGAGCAGAAAAGTAGGACGCTAAACCCCATTTCATTTCATTTCTTGTCCGTGTCTACGTGCAATACTAAAGGCCACCTTGGAGTATTACCTCTAAATATCCAACGAGCTGTCTTGTTTAACTTTGACTTGGAGGAAACCAAACATATGGATGTTGTCACGAGTCACCCTGGTCACCTTTCAACCAACGTTTGATGAAACAATCACAACACACGGTGGATGGTCGTACACTGCCGGAAATTGTTAATTAGTCAAATTAAGAGATTAGAATAGAAAACCAAGTTTGTACAACAAATATTAGCGAGCTTTGGAGTGTACGTTTAGGTTTAAACACTTCCCGACTGGTGTAAACCCTATTTGCTTAATGCATGTTTTACGGATTTGTTGCGCTGTTTTAGAAATCGACAAAACCACTGAAGACACACTATCCGTTCATCACGTTGTCGGACACTTCAAGGAGATAAATCCATATTCTTTAGAGAGAGAGAGAGAGAGCGAGAGAGAGAGAGAGAGAGAGGGTGGGATTTAACGTCCACTCGACACACACTTGGAACTAACATGGTTCAATTTTATTTCAATAATTCGCATGAACGTAGGGTTCTTTAGCAGTGTCAGGAAAATGTGGTACCCGGAGAAAACCCACGAGGTTGGACATGCAACCCTACTCCTTGTCACATACAACCGGGGAATCAAACCTATTCTTTGGCACCTAGAAATTGCCACAAATGGGTCGCAACGCATGTAATAATATAATATAAATGTTTATAAACTGATTTGCATTAAATCATTTCTGTTTTTACTGTAATTTCTCAACAGTTATGTTCGGCGAAAATCGCGAAGGGTCGAAATTGAATAGCAGTCTTTGGCGTCTGGTTATTCCAGTCTACACCGGTAGTATTCTCCTGTGGGCTATGTTTAGCCTCGTTCATCGAGTCGCTTCGTTACAAATGGCGCTCGAATGCATTCTGACGCGCGATTCGTGTACCAATTTTGAAATTTTCATTTTGTCTTAAATATTGGATACCAGAAGCCCATCTTTTTACAGTAAGATGAAAACATCAATGTTGATTTAAATTTACCAATAAATCGTGTTTGCAAAGTCGAAGACTGTGGATGATATTGAGTTAAAGACTTGCCTCCTTTAAAGTTATTCAGTTATAACTATAAAGCAGGGGTGGTCAACACCATACTAAACTTACGCTGTCTGTCTACAATTAACCCTGCTTGATAACAAACACTAAGCTGGTTGACCGACATTTGAAGTCCTAAATCAACGACTTCAGAATTCTGAGAAGTATATATTCTGCTTTCATTTAATAAAAATTGAAAAGGCTTAATTAGTCTTTTTTGTGTATAACAGATGTGAACGGGTGTAGGAACGCATTACAAAACAGTATACAAATTGTTGGCTATGGCGGCCATTTCGGCAGAGGTCTTTTCTCCAAGTAGATAGGTCTCTGTGTGCAGAAAGGGTGAAGCCTTCACATACCAAGCGTCAATTTGTTTAAACACAAGTATTCAGACGCACCCGACACGTTTTGAGGAGTTACATAAGGATTGCAAAACTAAATTCCATTTTTCCCAGTTTGATTTATTAAAGATACATTATGGGATATTAGACAAATAGCTGGCAGATCTCGCTATAATAGTTAAAAGCTAGGGAAGTTGCTGAAAATTTCAGTCTAATTGATCTACCCTGAACCGAGTATTTAGCGATTGAATTTTGGGCCTAGTCTTGATTATCATTACTAAAGTAGGTACGATAAAAAAACATAGTCTCGATTATCCATTTTTTGATTTAATCTGAAGCAGCAGACCGGGTTCTAATCCAGTAAATATCGCAGGCTAGCGATACCAGATTAGACAAAGAGCTGGCAGATCTCGCTATAATAGTTAAAAGCTAGGGAAGTTGCTGAACATTTCAGTCTAATCTACCCTGAACCGAGTATTTAGCGATTGAATTTTGGGCCTAGCCTTGATTATCATTACTAAAGTCGGTACGATAAAAAACATAGTCTCGATTACCCACTTTTTTATTTAATCTGAAGCAGCAGACCGGGTTCTAATCCAGTAAATATCGCAGGCTAGCGATACCACCGAGAGTTGATTATTGTCTGGATAAGTTAATTAATGTCTAATGAATAATTTAGATAACATTTCAGGCCTAAAAAAAAACCCTGCAATTGGCAGAATTAGCTATTGCATAATGTATGTTATAATTGTATAATTGACAAATATATACATTGAAAGAAGAAAATATTCGCTAAAAAGGATTTGCAAGAAATAATTAAATCTATAAAAATAATGACTAAGCTTACTGATTTATCATTATTATCACAGGGATGCAATACTGCACCCTGCTATAAGAGGACCCGGGGGTGATCGAGTGATCTAACACGTGTGCTTTAGACCATAAGATCTGTCATTGAGCCATTACGTGACGTGGTTTCGATTCCAAGCTTGTGCGTGACAAGGGGATGGTCGCCTGTCGAACCTCGTGGGTTTTCTCCGCTTCGTCCGAATCCCCTCATTGCTAAAGATATCCACTCGCAAGCGAATTATTGAAATAAAATTCTACTATAATATCTCATTTTTAATTTTTTAAAAATTGACCAGAAAGTTCCGAAACGACGGAACTAACCCATAACTAATTTATACTTATTGACCTTTGATGTCACAGTTACATAACATAACCGTGATAATAGTCTTGAACATTCGGGTAATTTGGAATGTAGAAATGATCAACCAGTGACAATTTTCCTTGAATTGTGCCAGTCACATACCGGCACTAACCACAAACTAAGTCCAATGTTTTGTGGTATTCACCTCTATTGGCCCATCTTTAAATATTTTGTAAAACATCGTTAAACAAACTCCGAGTTTGGGTTAATTAAAAATAGACGTTTCAAAGCTGATGGTTTAACGGTCTAACAGTCAGACGACTTTAAATGAGTCTAAACTTCCGTCATTTGTCGCATGGTCGCTATGTTTTATTTGCACTTGTATGAAAATCTTAAAATCTGCCGCATTTGTTTCAGCAGTGAGTTATCGAAGTTTGACTTCAAAAAACAAAATCTGGTCTAAAGGTATTATACGACGTTCGGTCAACATCATTCACTCCTGGTCTGGTCGTGTCGCCTTGCCGGCATTCGGTTGGTCGGTCTTTGTAGAAACAACACCGACACTGTCACCGAAACGAAATTTAAATTAAATTAAATTAACACGGATCCCGTGAAGTGGACTTGTGGCGGTGGAACAAAAATCGATTTCCTCAGGAATCATCATTTTGATTTACATAAAAATGATGACAATGTTCAAATGATATTTTCTCTCCATGTGTTGAAGGAAAAAAAGAAAACTCAACTTAAAAGCGCGGGAAAATGGAATCCCCTTGGATTTAAATGTTTACAGTGATTTGTGAAGATTTATATTCGAATTTTCAAAGTTGAGGATCTTTGGTTAACAACTTGAGTGAAAGACGAGTCGAATCGTGGATTGTTGTGGCATGAGGAATAATTTTATTGGGTAATTAAAAACGTATCGTGTTGTACTTCAAATTTCTTGATTATTAATTAAATTAAAACAATGACTAAGAAGAAACCCCTCTATAACGCGATGTTACCGGTATTACGCGGTGTGAACCTTATGCAGTGTTATGTATTTCTGTCTCTATGTGGTTCCGTGTTATCGATGGACAGATTGTATTATATCGGAGCCGTGGAATTAGATTGGAATTATGCGCCACATGGACAAGCTCTGGTGGAAGATCCTATGGACAAGTAAGATATTTTTAACGTCCTTCTGTTTTGCTAATGAACACGGGCATAGACCATACAATTTCGCCCGGACAACCGTGTTAGCGCTTATTTTTCTTCGAATTCCAACTTCCAAGGTTGTTTGCTTTATTGTAAATAATGTGAATGTATTCATTCAGTAATTTAGATAATTTACAAGTATTCTTTCATTATTATAAATACTCATTCAGTATTCTTTCGTAATTATAAATAATTTACAAGTATTCATTCATTATTATAAATACTCATTCAGCATTCATTCATTATTATTAATAATTTACAAATATTCATTCAGTATCATAAATAATTTGCAAGTACAGTGTACTCATTCATTATTTTAAATACTTATTTAGTATTCATTCAGTGTCATAAATAATTTACAAGTATTCAATCATTAATTAAATACTGTATAAGTATTCCTTCTGTAATAAAACAGACATTATGCAAGAGCTAAATGTGACTATTGCAGGTCTTTCCTTGGGGCTTACATTTTATATAAATTATTAATTAGACATTAATATTAACATGACATGACCATATTCAACACTTGATGCCATCTGATGGGTCCGATTTTCAACAGATTTTCAACAAAGGAAATAATGACAATCGGGACTACAGTGTTATTGAAATGAGGATTTTTCGGCTCACACAGATTGAAGTAATTTAACTGAAATTTTCAGCATATTCCCTTTACATTATCTATTATTGCGAGAACTGTCAACTCTTTATCTAAAATCCCATAAAGCCGCTTTAATGTATATGTATTCAGTAAGTATTCATTCGATAACTTGATTATTGTGTTCATTGGAAAATAGGGGTTTGGTTGGCCGAATGGTTAACGCGTTGTGTCATAAGGTCTATCGCTAACATTTGGGACCTAGAAATTGACAAAAGTGGGTCGCAGCGCATATAATAGTGTAATATGAATGTATATGAACTGATTTACATTCAATGGTTTCCGTTTTTACTCCAATTTCAAATCAGTTATGTTCGGCGAAATAAGCCAGCAGTCTCAAGCGAGTGCAAATTTCTAGCGTCTGGTTATTCCAGTCTACATACGCCGTTTGATTTGGTGCAATGTGTCTAGCCTCGTCCCTCGAGTCTCTTGATACAACTGGGACTGAAGCGCATTATGGTACACGATTCGTGTACCAATGGTAAAATGTTCATTTTGTCTTAAATATTGGATATCAAAAGCCCATCTTTTTCCGGTAAGATCACAACATGAATGTTGATTTAATTTGACAAATAAATCGTGTTTTCAATGTTGAAGATTTGGGATGATATTGAGTTAGAGACTTAGCTACTTTAAGTCAAGTAGGGTGGTGTCGATTCGTCGCCTGTCCAATCTCGTGGATTATCTCCGGGTTTCCCGGTTTCCTCACACTGCTAAAGACCCCTACGCACAAGCGAATTATTGAAATAAAATACTGATGTTGTTATCTTGCCGTGAAAATATTTGATCCTAATGTCCAATATTCAAGACACAATGAACATTTTATAACCTGTACATGAGTCGTGTATTCCATGGTTTCGGGTACCATTTGTAACGAACATAGAAAAACATAACCTACAAGACAATGTGAAAAAAATTAGTAGTTATTTGTAGATTTGTATGATTTCAAAAATATCTTATAATTCATATCTTCACTGTTAATACCTCAAATATTGTTTTTACTTTGATTGTATTCTCCAGTCCTTATATGTAGCTCTTGTTTGATCGTATTTGAATAAAATTATTATGTACCCTAAAAACAATTTATGTCTAAGGTCTTAGATTACCCCATGTTGTTTTTCGTGCGACGTGACCAATTTTCTCTTTCCAACACCCACCCAATAACTAACTTAATACGCCCCATAAATGTTGGACCCGCGGTGGCTCAGTGAGTAAGTTTCGGGTTCACTTACCAGGGGTTTCCCGGTGTTGGCTGAGATTTTTCGTGGATTAACATAATATGCCTAAAATATTTATAATGATGGTACCCCGAACATCTACATTTAGTCGCAAAACAACGATGGTTGTTTGGGCCAATTTGCTAACATCTTCACCAATTTGCTAACATCTTCACCCATGTGCCAACATCTTCACCCATGTGCTATCATCTTTACTAATTTGCTGACATCTTCACCAATTTGCTGACATCTTCACCAATTTGCTGACATCTTCACCAATGTGCTAACATCTTCACCAGTTTGCTGACATCTTCCAGACACTAAACAATGTCAACATATTTACACACTCGTGCTGACAGGTAGAAGAAGCCCATCCAGACAAATATCCAATGTTGCCAACACATAATCCTTTTCTAACGATCTAATGAGAAAACTTGCCACAATTTAAGCTCCGTGTCACGATAAAATGAAAAGTAATGGGGTTTAACGTCCCACTTTTCTGCACCGACTGGGCTAATAAAGACGGACCTACGCCATACAGTGTGCTATGAGGGAAATGTAGCCCGGGCAGTAGCGTTACGGCCTAGTCTTATATCGAATTCCAACTGTCAATGGTTCTTTTACGCGCACACCAATGGGATCTCGGTTTTCGTCCCATCCGAACGACTAGACAGTTGTTCTGTACTATTGACAAGTGGGAACCACGCCGGGGGAAATCTCGATGACCTTACTTGACCAACAGTGTGATCGAACACGGGACCTCCAGGCTAGCGAGCCAGCGTCGTACTCAATAAGCCACCGTGACTCCCGTGTCATGATAATGCACAAAAAGTCATCGCCTATGATTTAACACATCGACATTAAACAGACATTATGCAAGAGCTAAATCTGCCTATTGCAGTTCTTTCTTTAGGCCTGAAATGTTTTCTAAACTATTAATTAGACATTAATTAACTTATCCAGACCATAATCAACTCTCGATGTCAACGCTAGCCCGCGATATTTATTGGATTATGATCCGATTCGCTGCTCAACTTTCATTCATGATTTAATTATGAAATGGTAACCGAGACTATGTTGTTTATCGTACCGACTTCAGTTATGATGGTCGGGACTAGGCCGAAATTTCAATCGCTTAATTCACGGTTCATAGTGAATCAATTTGACCGAAATTTTCAGCAAATGGCCTTTACATTCTCGGGTGGATGGCCGAAAGGTCAATCTGATTATAACACAGATCTATATTTCGTTTCGTTTTTTTTTTATAATTTCGATGGCCTGCACTACATGAAGATCTGACGAATTGTATTATAAGGTCGTGTAAGGGGTCGTACGAGTGGCGTGGTTTCGATTCCCCGGTTGTACGCGACAAGGCGTAGGATCGCCTGTCCAACCTCGTGGGTCTTCTCCGGATCTTCCGGTTCCTCCCCTGTTAAAAAAAACCTACGCGCAAGCGAATTATTGAAATAAAATTGAACCATGTTTTTGTCCCGAAATGACCTAGTTTGCGTCGAGTGGACGTTAAACCTCTCCCCCCCCCCAGATTCCCCCCTCCCCCCCCCCCCCCACACACACACCAAACTCTACAGAGATACGACAGGGCAAGCAATGAAATATATCTCTGCAGGACTATATTGTACACGTATACAATATATACAATATACAATACTAGATGAATACCTATACATTATAGAAATTATGGGACGAATAATTATACATTTTATTATTGAGATATATTTATCGAATGCATGTGTGATGGCTACAGAGATAACAACAGAACGCAAATTTCAAACGCATAATTCTCAATACTTAAATATATCAGATTCGTCGGTTCGCCAGAAAAGCGACGAAATATTCGGCCGAATATATCAAACCTGTTTGATTCGGGCGAATCATTCGGCCGAATGACAGTAGACACACTAGGCGAATTTCGACGCCGATTGATTCGGCTGAATCATTCGGCTAGTGTGTCCACCGCTTTAAATAACAGAATGAAAATTGATACGTTAATTAAATTATTTACTCAATATTTGTACGTTATTTAAATTATATACTCAATACGTGTTCGTTATTTAGATTATCTACCCAATACGTTATTTCAATTATTTAATACTTGTACGTTTCTTAAATACTTGTACGTTAAATACTTGTAGGTTATTATCTACTCAATACTTGTACACTATTTAAATTATCGAGAGAGAGCGAGAGAGAGAGAGAGAGAGAGAGAGAGAGAGAGATGGGTTTAACGTCCATTCGACACAAACTAGGTCATTTCAGGAGTAACACATGGTTTAATTTTATTTCAATAATTCGCTTGCGCGTAGGGGTCTTTAGCAGTGGGAGGAAACCGGAGGACCCGGAGAAAACTCACGAGGCTGGACAGGCGACCCTACTCCTTGTCACGTACAACCGGGGAATCGAAACTGACTCAATGACAGGCCTCATGATACAGCACGTACGTGCTAACCATTCGCCCCCCCCCCCCACACCCCACACACCCACACACCCCTATATTTTAGATCTATCATAATGGTGTTAGTGACAGTCTTCATTAACCCAGTCAAAGCAGAACAGTATGATATTAAACCCTATTTCATTTCATTTATTAGTGATTTTATTATTTTTAGATCATATAAATTGTATATACCTATAATGTATTTCTAATATATGTTTTTAGGTCGTATAAACAATTCGCTGAAACAGCGGAGGAAAGAATAGGCAGTGTTTATAAAAAAGCCATGTATAAAGAATATACTGATGATAGTTTTACTGAAGAGATACCCACTCCAGCTTGGCAGGGGATATTTGGTCCAACACTAAAAGGTGAAGATGGAGACAGAATTGTCATCAAATTTAAGAACATGGCCTCTCGACCCTACAGCATGCATCCACATGGTGTCCACTACGATAAAAGACACGAAGGTATGTAAAACTAGTGGGTCATATTGAAAAGTGAGCCACGGTGGCTAAGTGGGTAAGACACTGGCTCGCTAGCCTGGAGGTCGGGTGTTCGATCCTTTCATTGGCCGAGAAAGTTCATCGGGATTTTCCGACGTGGTTTCCCCTTGTCAGTGGTTCAGTACGAAGGGGGAACCCACGGTTGGGCGATATGACGACGACAATTTTCTGTCGTAATGTAAGATATTGTGCCATTACAGGTGATATTTTGTAGTGTATAATATTATAATTGGAATTGTAATATATGGTAATGTAATCGTAATATTACAGTTGCTTTTTATATTGTAAAGTATAATATTGTAATATTACAGGTGCTGTATCGCATATTGTAATTATAATGTATGATATTGTAATTATAATGTATGATATTATAATTGTAATGCATGATATTATAATTGTAATGTATGATATTATAATTGTAATGCATGATATTATAATTGTAATGTCTGATATTGTAATTGTAATGTAGGCTATTCTAATGTATGATATTGTAATTGTAATGTATGCTATTCTAATGTATGATATCGTAATTATAATATTACAGGTGCTTTATATATTGACAAAACGAGCGGTAAACCTAAATATGATGACGAGGTACCAGTTGGTGATATAAACACTTATATCTGGTTGGTTGAAGGTGAATTTGTACCTACAGTAGATGATCCACCATGTTTACCATGGGCTTATCATTCTCATGGCTTTAATGTTATGGCGGATACAAACGCTGGTTTAATAGGAATGCTGGTTACATGTAAAGCAGGTAAGTATCTGAGTAAGGTCCGATTTTGGAATCATGTACTGGCACGAGTTTAGAATCTTGTATTGGCACGAGTTTAGAATCTTGTATTGGCACGAGTTTAGAATCTTGTATTGGCATGAGTTTAGAATCATGTATTGGCACGAGTTTAGAATCATGTATTGCGACAAGTTAAGAATCATGTATTGGCACGAGTTTAGAATCATTTGCACGAGTTTAGAATTCTGTATTGGCACGAGTTTAGAATCTTGTATTGGCACGAGTTTAGAATGATGTATTGGCACGAGTTTAGAATCATTGGCACGAGTTTAGAATTCTGTATTGGCACGAGTTTAGAATCATGTATTGGTACGAGTTTAGAATCATGTATTGGCACGAGTTTAGAATCATTGGCACGAGTTTAGAATTCTGTATTGTCACGAGTTTAGAATCCTGTATTGGCACGAGTTTAGAATCCTGTATTGGCACGAGTTTAGAATCCTGTATTGGCACGTGTTTAGAATCCTGTATTGGTACGAGTTTAGAATCCTGTATTGGCACAAGTTTAGAATCCTGTATTGGTACGAGTTTAGAATCCTGTATTGGCACGAGTTTAGAATCATGTATTGGCACGAGTTTAGAATCATGTATTGGCACGAGTTTAGAATCCTGTATTGGCACGAGTTTAGAATCATGTATTGCGACGAGTTTAGAATCATGTACTGGAACGAGTTTAGAATTTTCAATTCATCATTTCTTTGTAAATATTGAACATAATCGAAGTAAGTATTTGTGTAATGGCATGGTTTTAGAGATTTAACTGGTTATTGCGAAACCCTCAAATTTCGACATATAGCTTTAATGTTATTGGTCCAACTTAAAGTTTCAGACACGTCATCGTCACATTTAAAAGGATAAATCTATATGTTAACGCCAGCTCAATTTTTGTCAAGGTCGCTGATATGTAAATAAGGTTAGGGCTCGTGATTGTTGGCGCGATTGTAGGTTTGGGTTATGGCAAGCATTGGGGCTAGGTCCAGGGTTAGGTTTAAGAATTTTGGGGGAGATGTTAAGTCTCCACATAAGCACTGACCTAGGATGATGAAAAATTAGTTCGTGATATTTCCTAGTTTTATTAAAATACATACAATACATTAGATTTATATACAAAGTCGATGTCACTGTTTATTGGTGTTGGTGGCGCTGATGGTCTTCCTTGGGTGACCTATGACGAAAAATTGAGCTGGCCTTATCATTTAGCACTAACCGATTTAAAATGTCTACGTTCTGTTGTATTTCAGGAAGTCTTGATAAAGATGGTAAACGAAAAGATGTGGACAGGGAATTTCCCGTTTTAATGAAAGCATTTAACGAAAATCAAAGTTGGTATTTTAGAGAGAATATGAAAAGATGTTATTCCGAGTCGGCTTGTAACTATTTAAATAAAATACGGGATTTACCGTTTGATCATAGCAACAGAATGCATTCTATTAATGGTTATATGTTGGGAAATCTACCACCTTTCCAAGCTTGTGTAGCTGATAGAGTTGTATGGTACGTGGTCGGTTTTGGTGGTGAACGGGATGTCCATTCATTCAGCGTGGAAGGAGAAACGTATACTACAAGACACAGGCGGTAAGACTTTCGTATCTTCCATTTTTGAAGAGACAGAGAGAGAGAGAGAGGGGGGGAGAGAGAGAGAAGTGGGGTTTAACGTCAACTCAACACAAACTAGGTCATTTCGGGACTAACATATGGTTTAATTATATTTCAATAATTCGCTTGCGCGTAGGGGACTTTAGCAGTGGGAGGAAACCCGAGGACCCGTAGAAAACCCACGAGGTTAGACAGGCGACCCTACTCCTTGTCACGTACAACCGGGGATTCGAAACCACGCCAGTTGACTCAATGACAGGCTTTATGATACAGCGCGCACGTGCTAACCATTCGGCCATCCAACTTCCCCATATTCTAAAGGAATCAGCATACGCAACCTGTGCACGATACGCATCGCATCTATTTGCCGATTGGAATGATTGTCGGGCATCCAACCCCCTCCATTTTTGAAAATACCCGGAACGACTAGCTCACTAATCAGGAGGTCCGTGTGTTGGGCAGTAAAGTTCCTCGGGATTCTTCAAGATGGCTTGCTAATGTCAGTGATGTTGTAGGTCCCGTTTAGGCTTACACGTTAAAGAACCCTTGACAGTTGGAATTCGAAATAAGAGAAGGCTGTAGCGCCGTTGGCCGGCCAAGAGATACCTCATAACACACTGCAGTATACATTCTCGTAGCACACTGTATGACGTATGCAAGTCTTCATTAATCCAGTCGGCGCGGAAAGAGAGAGAGAGAGACAGAGAGAGAGAGAGATGGGGGTTTAGCGTCCACTCGACACAAACTAGGTCATTTTGGGACTAACATATGGTTCAATTTTTTATTTCAATAATTCGCTTGCGCGTTGGTGTCTATAGCAGTGGGAGGAAACCAGAGGACTCGGAGAAAACCCACGAGGTTTGACAGGCGAACCTACTCCTTTTCACGTACAACCGGGGAATCGAAACCCGCCATTTGACTCAATGACAGACGGTATGATACAGCGCGCACGTGCTAACCATTCAGCCACCCTCCCCCCATTTGATTTTAGTGTAATAATATATTCTTCTATCTCTGATTACTTCAATATTGTAGTTTTACGTGTATAACGAAACTTAATATTTTCAGTATAACATCAGAAGAAATTATAGCTGCAACATTTATATCAGCCACAATGACCTTAACTAAACCGGGTAAGAGATTGGTCTATTGTTCGGTCAACGATCATTATGAAGGTAAGTTTAAAGTAGCTAAGTTTCTAACTCAATTTAATCCAAAACCTTCGACAATGAAAATACGATTTATTTGTCAGTTTTAATCAACACTGATGTTGTGATCTTACAGGGAAAAGATGGGCTTCTGATATCCAATATTTAAGACAAAATAAACATTTTACGATTGGTACACGAATCGTGTACCATAATGCGTTTCAGCGCAATTTGTAACAAGCGACTCGGAAGAACGAGGTTAGACATATTCAACAAGTCGTGTCAAACGGCGACCTCATATTCTTATCTGGAGAGCAGGCGCAATAAATACTATCGGTGTAGACTCGAATAACCAGACGCTTTAGATTGCCATTCGATTGAGACTTCTGGTGTATTTCGCCGAACAAACTTGCTTTAAAATTAGAGTCCAAACGGAAACGATTGAATATAAATCAGTTTATTTACATTCATATTACATTATTATATACGTTGCGACCCATTTGTGTCAATTTGTAGGTCCCAAATATTAGCGATTTAGCTCCTTTAATCTCTTAAATAATGTCACAAACAGAATCTACGATTATTTGAAACTTCCAGTTGTTCATTATTAAGTACGTGTTGCTGTCCGAGACGGAGGTGTTCAAGTACACTGTGCACCTAACCGCGTGCAAGTTGAGCTAAGCCACTAGTTTGAAGTTTTAGCCGCTTACATCGACGTCGGATGAATATCCGTCGTTCTAGTCCCCTTGTGACGTTAGTCCGGCGTAGTTTCCCCATGTCTGTGGTGCAGGACCGAGGGCCTGACAAGGACAGTTGTCTAGTCGTTCGAATGGGACGACAAACCGAGATTCTCATGGCATACTGTACGGCATATGCCCGTCTTTATTAACCCAGTCGGAGCAGAAAAGTAGGATGTTAAACTCCATTTCGTTTCATTTCATTTCATTGTGACTAAAGTTTTAGTAAGACTGTAGTTGACTTTAAAATAACTTGTCTGCGATATCAGTCAGTATGTCGTCGAAATGACGTCAAACAAACCAGCCTACGAAGCATTACCATCGTGATGGCCGGCCTCACTCCATTCTAACCCTATACCGTGTATGCACCTAATGGAGCAGAAATATTGTCTTTGAGCTTCTGACTTTATCAGATTCTTGACAAATTCCCAAGGACCCCCCACCCACCTCCCCCGCTGCATAAATTCCCGAACACACCCCTTATCTCTCCCTAGGTGGAAGCAGAAGTTAAACCCCACAAACCAAAGTTTAATATAGAATTAGTATAACAGGATTTCATAATATGTTTTCATTATATTTGGGAGCCGCGGTGACCCAGTGAGTAAGACGTTGGTTCGCTAGTCTGGAGGTCTCGGATTCGCTCCCGATGTTGGCCGAGTAAGTTACTTGGGATTTTAGGGCGTGCTTTTCCTTGTCAGTGGTGCAGGCCTGACAAGGACAGCTGTTCACATTGGCGTGTACCCTTGACATTTGGAATTCAAGATAAGAGTATAGGTCGTTGCGCCGCTATCCGGACAAAATTTCTCCCATAGCACACTGTATATCCTATGCCCGTTTTCATCAGCCCAGTCGGAGCGGAACTAATCCCATTTCATTTCATTTTTTGTATTTTATTTGAAGATGGTATGAGAGAATATCTGAACGTTGAACAATGTGGTGTAGATAACCTGGATGATGACACCTCCCTAGATGGAAGGACTCGATCATACAAGTTGATGATTGTAGAAGATACATGGGATTATGCACCATCCGGTTATAACAGATTCAGTGGTAGGACTTTAGTTGAAGAGTGGAGGTATGTTATATCATACAAACAAAATGGGGTTTAACGTCCTACTGTTCTTCTGGGTTAATGAAGACGGGATAATAGCATGGGGGGGGGGGGTAACATCCACTCGACACAAATAGGTCATTTCCGGACTAACACAAGTCCGCTTGCGCGTAGGGGTCTTTAGCAGTGGGAGGAAACCGGAGGACCCAGAGAAAATCCACGAGGTTGGACAGGCGATCCTACGCCTTGTCACGTACACCGGGGAATCGAAACCACGTCAGCTTACTCAATGACAGACCTTATGATATAGCGCGCTCATGCTAACCACTGGACCATCGAACTCCCCCAATCCGCCATATGACTGCCAAACCATAAATATTCAATAGTTGTTATAATTTCGAATATCAATAGTTGTCTTACTGATACTGCTAGCCTGGAGGTCGGGTGTTCGATCTCTGCATTGGCCGAGAAAGTTCGTCCAGATTTTCCGGCGTGGTTCTCCCTTGTCAGTGATACAGGACGGCGGGCCTGACAAGGACAGCTGTCTAGTCGTTCGGATGGGACGAAAAACCGAGATCCCGTGTACACATTGGCGTGCACGTAAAAGATCCCTTGGCAGTTGGAATTCGATATAAGAGTAGGCCGTAGCGCCGCTGCCCGGGCAAAATTTCCCCCATAGCACACTGTATGGCGTATGCCCGTCTTCATTAGCCCAGTTTAGGAGCAGAACAGTAGGACGTTAAACCCCATTTCATTTCATTTCATTTCTTACTGATACTGGTCCTGAATCGTTGCACGGACGCCGAAAGTTATACCTAGACAAATGTCGGTAATGCTGAAGGGGGGTTGGGATGGCATAGTACTCTAAAGTGTCGCGCTTCGACCTCTGGCAAGTCGGTCACCTCTGAGTTGTGGTTTCGATCCCTGGTTTGAGCCTTTGTGGCTTGAAGATAAGATGGCGGTTCCTCCTCAACCTCGTGGGTTTACTGTTGGTTATTCCGGTTTCCTCCAACACCAGAAAAGGTCCATGCGCGTGCGCTAAGCATAATAGCTTTTATATTTAAATATTTTCCATTCTCGTATTGTTCTAATAGTGCCATAGACCCGCTTTTCCAGTTGCATTCTGTGGTGCTATGTAAGTATGATAAATTATTATTATTTTATTGCTAATATTTTTTTAGTATAGAAGCTCAGTATTATGCCGGACGGGCAGATCGAATTGGTAGTCAATATAAGAAAGCCCTTTTCCGCGAACCAACAGACGATTCGTTCACTCAGGCTAAAGCGAGGAAAGTATCGGAGGATTCTCTGGGTATACTTGGACCGTTTATTAAAATGGAAGTAGGAGAAATACTAGAAGTAGAAGTTATGAATAAAGCAACAAGAACATATTCCTTCTATCCCACTGGATTAAGAATGGTTGGTGTGGATTTCACAAACAGAAACAGTGGTAAGACAATAATTATTTTAAATAAGGTTTCTCTGACAGGATAATCTGGTTAAAACACAGATCCTATTTCATTTCGTTTTTATAGTTCAAAATTTGTCTTTACTACACTTGGATCTGGAAGAGATGTTATTTAATTCGTGTTCTGAATGGTGTCAGGGATAAGCCAATGAAACGGTCTGTTACGGCGAGCTTTAGGCGTGTTTTTCACGGAACACTGTGGGTAATCCACTTGTAACATCAATGCTGATTGGTTAATCAAATGTCTGACGTCATAGGGTCATAAGTCGGTCTTTAGACCCCTGGCGTGACCTATCGCTATATCTTGTCAGATCTTCATGTAGTGTAGGCCATCGAAAGTATAAAACAACCGAAACGAAATATAGATCTGTATTTTAATCAGATTGTCTTATAGGACTGGAATGGAAGATTTCAAAAGTATAAATCATGCCTGTATAACGCCTGGGCGTTAGATAATAATGTCTGTCATTGAATCAAGTGACGTAGTTTCGATTCCCCGGTTGAATGTGACATGAAGTAGGGTTGCATGTCAAACTCCGTGGCTTTTCTCCGGATTATCCTATAGATACACGTAACGACTGTCGTTAAACGGAGAGAGAGAGAGAGAGAGAGAGAAACGTTTATTTCGGACAAACATACGGCCTATTTTATTTCAATAATTCGCTTGCGTGTAGGGGTTACGTACAAGAGGGGAATCGAACCCACGCCACTTGACTCAATAACCCAAAAAATCTTTCTCTGATGAGTTTCAGTCTACCAATGTGATCAAAGTAAACTGACGTATTTCTTAAAACATATTTAGGTGGCTGATCTGAAATAATTTCTTATTTTGCAGATGATTTTGTTTCGGTCCTCCAATGTAACCGAAGTAACTGGTTTATGTTTAACGTCCTACTGTTCTGCTCCTAAACTGAGCTAATGAAGACGGGCATAAGCCATACAGTGGCTATGAGGGAAATTTTGCCCAGGCAGCGGCGCTACGGCCTACGCTTATATCGAATTCAAACTGCCAAGGGATCTTTAACGTGCACACCAATGTATACACGGGACCTCGGTTTTTCGTTCCATCCGAACGACTAGACAGCTGTCCTTGTCAGGCCCTCCGTCCTGCATCACTGACAAGGGGGAAACACGCCGGAAAATCCAGATGAACTTTCTCGGCCAATGCAGGGATCGAACACCCGACCTCCAGGATAGCGAGCCAGTGTCTTACCCACTTGGCCACGTGATCCCCTTGTCTCAAATACTTTTGACTTATACAAATTGTAATAATCATATTTTCCAGGTGATTTTGTAACAGTGCCTATACAACCCGGTGAGAAACATACGTATAAGTTTTATGTGCCGGATAAAATGGGACCAACGCATGCCGATCCAGATTGTATTACTTACACCTATTCGTCTATGGTAGACAAAGTTAAAGATGTTAATTCAGGTCTAATAGGACCTCTTGTGGTCTGTAAAAAAGGAAGTCTGGATGAAAACAACAAACAGGTAAGTCTATGCTAACAATATAGAAATGAAATGAAAATGGGCTTTAACGCCCCACTCTTCTGCTCCGACTCGGCCAACACGGGAATCGAACCCGCGACCTCCAGGCCAGGGAGCAATCGTCTTACTCACGTATAGCCACAGTGGGTCCCTTTATAGAATGGACTGATCAATGGCAGCTCTTTATTTTAGTACTCTTTTCTATAATATACTACTTAATTTTCTAGTATTAAATGGATCCCCACACACCCCGCAGTGTTTCGTTTGATTAGAGATAATCCCACTTAACACTGCTGTAATGGAAGCAAATGTCTGTTCCAAATTATGACTTGTCAATAGTCCGATTAACAACCAAAAGCTAACTGCGTAACAATATTATTATGCTTTAAACAGAGCTCCAATTTGGACCAAATATGTTTACATAACGTTACGTCATGACTCACGATTTTATTATGCCCAATAATGTAGGGTGACCCACCATAAATAAATATCTCCATATATCTCGACAATTACGCCACAATATTTATATATATGCCAAGCCTCAAATCAGTTTCACACAATTATAGTCACTAAATAAACGATCATGTTGTATTTAATAAGCTATGACCATTAATCATCTATAAATAATAGACTGAAAACTGGTTCCAAGAGTCGTCCATAACATCCAGACACTTTTGAGTAAAAGATAGGTTACGTGCCCTTGTTTTGAAATTAGTCTCGCTTAACCAGTCTATCGACCATTCTACGTCTGATTGACAGGTCGGGATAATCAAGACTACTTTTTTACGAAACATAACTGAAAGCTAGAACAAGAAATTGAATTTAGAAATAAGCACGTTAGGTAGCTCAACAATCGTTTTAAGAAGCTTGTAAAAGTAAAATGAAACTACTGCTAGTATCATGTTCCTGTCTAACCCGGGTGATTCAGAGATATTATTTGTACTAAACCAAAAAATGCCGCTCTTAACGGTACAGTTAATGATAAAGCGATTTAAAAAATGAAACGAACGTAATTTCTAAATCTGCTGTAATAACCAAGAAGCTTAATTTTACTGCTATTCAAAATCGTCAACAATAATTTTTTTACGGCTGTAATAGTTGATAGATTTGTAGAGAATTGCACGTGCCATGGCTATTTATAGTATCATACTGTCAGTAAGTTGGTCTCGGCACGGCGAATGTGCACGCTTCAGTGGTAGTCTCGAACTATCAGCGGTGGACTGTATTTCTGTGAGTACATGGGTCACCCTATTGAATAGTGAATAGCAGAACATTGCAGAAAAAGTAATTGCTTGACACACGAGGCTATCAACACGGATACAATGTTAACAATACTGTTTGGATACGAACATACTTTCACCGTTTTTAATACCTTAAATCACTGTCCAAAGTTTTAGGGAAGACCCCAGATTAAACGAAGGCCTGTCATGTTGCTGTACTTGTTACAGATTTGATTGAACGGGAAGAATAGACACACTCCCTCAAAAGCACAGGTATCAGAAGCCAATCCAGCAATGGCGAGAGAGATATTTCTTGGTCCATTGCTCCAGGAATATGATGGATAATAAGCTATGAATATTTCGTTTAGTAATTATTTTAGTAATCTATGACTATTTTGTTGTTTTTTATAGGAAAGAACGGGTATATGATTATAAACAATGAATTATTTTATAGCGTTGAATAAATGATGTAATATTTGATTTTCAACACAAATATGGATCATTAAGGAACCGTTTATTTTAATAGATGTTTTATTTAAAGAATAGAATGGTTCAAGATATAGCCCTATTTTTTTTTAGGGTGGAATGGTTCACGATATAGCAGTATATTTTAGTTTAACAATCTATAAATATTGTATTTTCTAGCACGACATGGATCATGAAGTAGCCCTGTATTTTAGTAATATAGATGAGAATTTATCATGGTATTTATGGGAGAATATTAATAAGTATTGTATTCCTGATAGAGTTTGGTATTTGGATCCAGGTTTCATGGCATCAAATCGAAAAATGAGTAAGTTGAACACCGTAGGTTCAGGTCTTCTCTGTATTGGGCTATAGAGCCAAAATAACAAAAATACCCGACCGATCCTATTTTGAGGACCCATAACTCGGTCTTGATGTGAAATCTGTAGTCAAATTCCAGGCCTGAACCATCGTTATTATTTTCCAGAACCTTACTCAGTAATTAAACTATAAATACCAGGAAATAGATAAAACGCAACTTACAAAAAAAAACAAAAAAAAAAACGATTTTTCGACCCACCGACCAACCCATCCTATTTTTGGGCGCCACGTAACCATAAACAAAGACATTTATTTTCTTGGTCTAAGTTCTAGAGTCTAATTTCAGATAATTCCACTGTTGGGCTGTAAGTTCAACAGTCTATGTTTAGATCTTCCCTCTGTTGGGCTTTATAAGTTATACAGTCTATGTTCCACTGTTGGGCTTTATAAGTTATACAGTCTATGTTTAGATAATTCCATTGTTGGGCTATAAGTTATACAGCATAGATCCAGATCCTCCCTCTATTGGGTTATAACTTCTTCAGCAATAGACCCAGACCTTCCTTCTATTGGGCTATAAGTTAAAAAACATAGATCCAGAACTTTCTTCTATTGGGTTATAAGTTAGGTCTAGATCTCCCATCTATTGGACTGTAAGTTAGACGATGTTGTGGCGCCTTACTAATTTTATTAAACAATAATTCCCTAATAATAATAATTTCTGCTTGGACACGAAGAAGATATGAGTTTAGTCTCATTCGAATTCTTATTTTAATGAAAAATTGAAGTTAGAATATTTTTTTTTCAGCTGTGAATGGTCGAGCTTACTCCAATCTTAAAGGAATTGAATTTTGTCTGGGTAATAAAGTAACGTTCCATATATTTGCTAAAGGAAGTGAATTTGATGTCCATTCGATATATTTTCACGGTTTGAATTTTGCGTTTTATAGAACTACACGTGACACGTTGAAATTATTCCCGGGAACAACAGCTACAATAGAAACAACTGTTACACGACCGGGTAAATATGGATTAGATTTAGAAATTTAATTAAACAATCGCCATTCGCAGATAAACTCCGGTGATTGACGAAGGCGATCATAGTACAATGGGGATGATTTCGTCTCACGTCATGATATTGATAGAGAGAGAGAGAGAGGTAGAGAGAAAGAGGGACAGATAGACAGACAGGCAAAGAGAGAGGGGTTAACGAAAGAGGGAGAGAGAAACTAGACTAAGATACGTTTCAATTTCATTTCAATAATTCGCTTGCGCGAAAGGATCTTTAACAGTAGTGGGAGACATTAAGACCAGGAGAAACCCCACAGGCGACCCTGCTCAATGACAGATCTTTTGACCTAAAAAGCAGCGTTAGGCCAATGTACTCACCCCCCCCCCCCTCCGCCCCACCTCACCATTATATTGATAAACTGTAACTGGGCATTGTCTATTTTATTAGTTTAAATAAAAACTTATATTCATAATGGCGTCAATGTCCTTATGACGTCATTTAACATACTGACCCACTTCCGATAAAACTGCGTCATTGTCATCATGACGTCAAATGGCCCACTGACCTACTGACCAATTTAATTACGTCATTATCATCATTACGTAATGTTCATCAATATTTTTTGAAAATATCGTCTTAAATAATTCTGTATTATTACAGGTATTTGGGCCATTGCTTGCAGAAATAATTTCCATTATACACGTGGTATGACAGCTACTTATGAGGTCAAAGATTGTGGTGGCTTTTACCAGACGCTGAAGAAGCCATTTATGCCCCGACATACCAGACGTTATTTTATAGCAGCTGTGGAAATATTGTGGGAATATGCTCAATCTAAAACATCTCCTATTACTGGCGAATCACTGACGAAGAAGTGGAGGTAGGAATCGCGTATCACGGATATTTTATAGCAATCTTACTCAATTTTATATCGTTCCCCGTAAAATTTTAATGATTTATTTTGTTTCGTGTGTAAAATTAAATTTTTTCTCGTCCACTCAACACAAACTAGGTAATTTCGGGACTAACATACAGTTTAATTTCATTTCAATAATTCACTTGCGTGTAGGGGTCTTTAGCAGTGGAAGGAAACCGGAGGACCCGGAGAAAACCCACGAGGTTGGACAGGCGACCCTACTCCATGTCACGTACAACCGGAGATTCGAAGTATGCAGTGTACTATGAGGGAAATTTTGCACGGACAGCAGCGTTTCTGCTTACTCTTTATTTCGAATTCCAACTGTCAAGGGGTTATTTTATCGTCCCATCCGAACAACTAGGCGATGTCCGTGTATCTAATACGATATTTGAATGTAATATTTTGTTTTTGTTTTTCAGTCCGTCGGAGATTTTTGTAAAAGATAACGATAGATATATCGGTACCAAATATTACAAGGCCATTTATAAAGAATTTACAGATTCCTCGTTTGAGCACGAGGTTGAGAGAACCGGAAATGCTGAGCATCTGGGATATCTGGGACCTATGATACGAGCTGAACAAGGCGACGTGGTGGAGATTGTCTTTAAAAACATGGCGTCACGGCCTTATTCGATACACGCTCATTTAGTGAGCACCGATAAAAATAATGAAGGAGCTTTATATTTTGATAAAACTAGTTATAAAGACGATGACCGAGTTCCACCTGGTGGATTTCATGTCTATAGGTCAGTATTGGAATTTGTATTATTTCTTAGAGCCGCGGTGGCTCGGCGAGCAAGACGTTGGCTCGCTATCCTGTATTGATTCCTGTATTGACTGGGGGGGGGGGGATGGATGGCTGAATGATAAGCGTGCGCGCGCTGTATCATAAAGTCTGTCATTGAGTCGACTGGCATGGTTTCGAATCCCCGGTTGTACGTGACAAGGAGTAGGGTCGCCTGTTCAACCTCGTGGGTTTTCTCCGGGTCCTCCGGTTTCCTCCCACTGCTAAAGATCCCTACGCGCAAGCGAATTATGTAAATAAAATTAAACCATATGTTAGTCCCGAAATGACCTAGTTTGTGTCGAGTGGACGTTAAACCCCATTTCTCTCTCTCTCTCCCTGTATTGACTGGAAAAATTCTTCTTGTTGGTTGTCTGGCAAGGGACAACGTATATTCGTTCGGGGTGCAGTCTGGTTGAAATACAGATTTATATTTCATTTCGTTTTTTAATAATTTTATACAGTGGCCTACACTACATGAAGATCGAATCGAACCAGTTGTACCGGGAGGTCGCGTCAGGGGTCATGCGATCGGCTTTTGACCCTATGACGTCAGACATTGATTAATCAATCGGTGTTGACGTTTCTAGGGGATTACTCACAGTTCCGTGCAGAGGACGCCAAGAACTCGCCGTAACAGACCATTTCATTGGCTAATTCCTCACATCAACTAGAAAGCCTGTTATATTACAACTCTTCCAGATCCTAGAGTTGTGAAGAAAAGTAAAACGAAATTTTGAAATATAAAAATCGAAACGAAATAGGATCTGTGTTTAATCAGATTGGTTCGAACGGGACGAAAAACAGTGGTCCCGCATGAACATTGGCGTGCACGTAAAAGAACCCTTCACAGTTAGATTGATAGAGGAGTAGGCTGTAGTGTCGGTATTAGGGCAAAATTTCGCTCATAGCACACTGCATGGCGTATGGCCGTCTATATTAGCCCAGTCGGTACAGGACAGTAAGACGTCTAAACAATCTACGTCAAATATACAAAAATAGAAGTCACCGTGGCTCACTGGGTATCGACGGTGGGTAAGACGCTGGCTCGCTAGTCTGATGGTCGGGTGTTCGATCCCTGTATTGGCCGAGAAAGTTCATCCAGATTTTCCGGCGTGGTTCTGCCTTGTCAGTGATGCAGGACGGAGGGCCTGATAATGACAGCTGTCTAGTGGTTCGGATGGTACGAAAAAGCGAGGCCCCGTGTACACATTGGCATGCACAATGATCCCTTAACACTTTGCATTCAATATAAGAGAAGGCCGTATTGCTGCTGTCCGGGCAAAATTTCCCTCATAGCACACTGTATGGCGTATGTCCGTCATCATTTTAGTCCAGGTCGGAGCAGAACATTAGGACGTTAAGCCCCATTTCATTTCATTTCCACTTGGTACGGTGCTGTCTAACTAATCCGGTAGTCCCAGATGAATATATAGGTGCTGGCCCAGAAACTTCTGTGGGATTCGACACCGTGGCTGGCCCCTGTCAGTGATGCAGGGCATTGGGCCGACTGGCAGCAGAAAGCATCTACTAGTATTTGTTCGGATGGCACATACAACCATCATCGGCAGCACGTTAAAGACTCCCTTAATAGTTAGAAATCGAAATAAGTTCAAGCGGAGACCTTGGCGCTGCTGTGGCTGGCTCACTAACTAAAATATCTGAGCCTCGTTGTTTATTGTAAGATGTGCAGTATGAAGAACTTTACAAGAAAGGGGCTCTAGTTTTCCGATGGGACAAACAATCGAGACATCACGTTAAAAAAAACAGCAATAAGAGCAGGTCGTAGCGCACAGTAAGGCCAAAATCTCCCCCTTAGCAAACTTGTGCAGAAAAGAAAAAAAATTAAAACTTAATTTATTTTCAAGTGAAATCGATGTCTTTATTTGGTATATTTGGCTATTGTTGGTAACGACGACATGTTTAAGGATATATCTCCGTATTTTAAACTGTTTATGTATGACAAATATGTCAAAACAAACAGACTCTAATATACTCAAAGAAGGGGTTACGATTTCTAATACAACGGTCCATTTACTTTAAAAAAGCATATTTGTTTTAGGTCAATACTATTAACAACTTGTGTTACTGATTCGACGATTACACAAACAAAGCAAAGAGCACGAAATGGCGAAATCATATAAATTTTTATGTATATTACGCGACTCCCAACGATCTTCAGAACCATTGTGGGGTCTATAATAAACAATAAATGATGTAATCCCTAATGAGGACCCGACAGCATATCTTTAACAATATCCGTTTATTTATTATGCCATATATGTGGTAACTTACCGACTATATATTTTAGTCGTTTAGTGGTCTAGAGTGCCGCGCTTCGACCTCTAGCTGGCCGGTCACCTCTAGTTTGCGGCTGTGGTTTCGATCCCTGGTGTGAGCGTATGTAGCTTGGAGATAGGGCGCCTTCTCAACGTCGTGGGTTTACTCCGGGTACTCCGGTTTCCTCCCACAGGAAAGACCCCTGCGCGTACGCTAAGATAATAAAAAATATGACTTGTCTGCGATATCACCTTCGGTGGAAGCGGACGTTAAACACTAAGAACAACAACAGTCTACCCCGGTGTTTCACGAACGTACAATTAACACTAAAACATATTCGTCGTGTATTCCCTTAACCGTTAATCTGCCATCCCTCTATATCTACAGGTTTTACTGTAACCTTTGACCCCCCCCCCCCATCCCTCTATATCAACAGGTTTTACTGTAACCTTTGACGTGCACGTAAAAAAACTCTTGATGGTTGGAATTAGAAATAACATAAAATTTCCCTCGTAGCGTACTGTATGGCACATGTCCGATTTTATTATAGCCCAGTCGGTCCAGAACAATAGGATGTTAAACCCCATTTCATTTCATTTAAGAGATGGCTAATCCCAATCGGCACCACAGAGGTATTGTAAAGGCCTTCTTATACCTCTGTATTGGAAGACTGACCTTTATAAGTTCAAGTATATGACGTCACATCACGGGGCGTCCATCATTGGCTCTATGACACGGGCATTGTTTACATAAAACGTTGTTGCGTTAACTGGTCCGGGAAAAATTGTGCCTTTTACGCATTTTATATACCCATTTACACTAAATAGAAATCTAGATGTACTTCAAACCCATTTATTTATTTTTCTAATACTTCAAAAAAATCTTTTAGAATTTAATTTGCAGATGGAAAAAGTTAATATTACGAGCTCATTAAGCCGCACCGATGTCAGCCCTCTCAGTGATTGTAGAGGCCTAACGAATATTCACTACTGATCAGTGTGGGCTAATCCATTGTAAAAGGGGAAAAAAAACTCATCGCCAAATGGTGCAATTCCATTGAGTATTTACAAAGATATTTTTATAAAATAAAATTTGATACAATAATCGGCATCCTGTGTAGACGGTTTGTCAGGCAGGACTCAATTTAATTTGATTGAATTTTAAGCCGGGGGTGATATTATTTGGGTTTTATTTTGTTATCAATATGAGTTCAGATTAGAGTGGATCGAATCCTTAAAAAAAAATACAGATATTGCCTAACAAATGCAGCGACTTTAACAAAATCACTGGTTATCTCGTTGTATTCCTAGAAGCACATAATCTTGCCTTTCCTATTCTATGACTGCCCCGCGTTCATTGAAAAGCTTTATGTTATCGATATAAAGATACCCCCCTCCCCCCCCCCACCCCAAAGAAAAAAAAGACGTTCTATCCATACTGCCATTTAAAATGGTCATGTTATGTATGTGTGACGGCGTAGGAATAATCAGTGAGTTGTGTCCAGTTGAAAGGGCCTTTATTCCCGATCATCTAGTGACACGAAGTTTAGTTATATCGTTACCATGGTGACGGCGAGACTGGTCTTTCCATTCCCTTCACGTTTTGTTTTACATGTATTAATTCTATATAATTTTTATTTTCCAGGTGGGAAGTGAAACGTGGACCCAGTGAAGGTGACCCAGATTGTATTTCTTCTCTGTATTACTCCTCAGTCAATGCCGCACGTGACGCTTATTCGGGCCTGATTGGTCCTTTAGTTATCTGTCGACCCGGTTTAATGGGAGAGAACTCTAAAAGACAAGATGTCGCAAGGGAATTCTTTCTCTTATTCGCTGCAACGAATGAAAGCATGAGCTGGTATTTTCCCAAGAACGTGCGCGAGTTCGCTCCATCACGTATGGATAACGGTAGAATCAGAAACGATCGTTTATTTCTACGGCATAACTTGAAGCATAGTATAAACGGCTTTATCTATCAGACAGTACCCGGTCTCGACATGAACCAGGGGGATCGCGTCGCCTGGTATTTTGCAGGATTCGGCGCTACAATGGACGTTCATTCAGTACATTTTCACGGTAACGGGCTCATAGAAGAAAATGACGGTAGTCATATTATGGATGTTTTAAATGTTTATCAAGAGACGTCCGCGAGTGGAACGATGGTGGCCGACAACCCGGGTCAATGGCTGCTGCATTGTCACGTGAGTGAGCACTTGGCGGCCGGCATGGAAACTACTTACATGGTTCATGCATCTACAGCATATTCATCAGCAGATATGTTGGACGGCGGTTCTAATTCCGCTAGTTCAAATCACGAATCATGGGATAAGAGTGACGACCAAGATGTCGACAACAATCACAATCATGATAACGACAACAGCCACGACCAAGACCAAAACCAACACATTAGGGCAGGTGCAACCGAGGGAGATGGAGCAGTGTGCGTTCCATCAAGAAAAAAATAAATACCCTGAAATATTTTTGGGTATTAGGGAGGGATATTTTCTAAGCTTTTATGGTTTCTAAAATAGAAATTTCAATGTTTTTGTTTATTTAAAAAAAAAACAACGTAATTTCATTCATACAAATCTTGTAATTATTAAAATAGGACCTGTCAACCTCAGAGAAAATTTAATGTAGAAGGCGGGGAAATTAACTATCATTATTGTTTCATGGCAAAATTATGCTGCTATTTTGGTACACCACGAGATTTTTTTATGTTTGCTAGTTGTCATTTATTTCCCCTGTGACATAAAGTCAATTATACGAAGTGATTGATATGTTTAGGATCCTTAGCGCGGAGGATTGAAGGTAATTTAGAGATCTTTATGAATGAAATCATGTTCGAGTTTTTGTTGTTAATCAATAAGCGATTATTGCCATCCCAGTGTTGGCGCCACTATTTCTTGTACAGGTCTTTTTCGGTCATTATTTATACTATTATCTAAAATTGTTTCTGTAAAGCTTGTAAAAAGTGGTCGCAACTTATAAAAACCCATTCCGGGTAATCGTTTAGATACCCATTTTCACCTATTAAGATCGTGCTACCGCCAACACAAAATAATTTTTATGAAATCAAAACCTCGGCCACATTTGATAATAAAATACAGATGCTACATCATCACATTAAACGAATTGACCAAGTGACAAAAAAAGAAAATGGTCTGACATTTCCGCGCGTCGCTTCCTGGTTACATCCTCAATTATTCTCCATTCAATTAAATTTTGAATTATTAAAGCCACATTAGGTAGGATAAAATAAAGAGCTGACAGTACTTGCTATAATAATAGTTAAAAAATAGATAATCAAAAGGCAGTATGCTGAAAATTTCAGTCCAATTACTTCACTCTGAGCCAAGGAATCGGCAATATACTTATAGGCTAGCCTCGATTGTCATTAATACCGTTGTTACGATAATAAACAAAGTCTCGATTATCTATTTTTACGGTAACCACATCCACTAAATATCGCAGGCATCCGAAAGCATCTAGAGTTGATTAAGGCCTTGGTAAGTTAAATAATGTCTAACTGATAATTTAGATACCATTTCAGGCCTAAAGAAAGGCTAGCAATAGGCAGATGTAGCTCTTCTTGCATAAAGTATGTTTAAAGATGCATTATGAAAGAGTTAAATTTGCCTTTGGTTCTAGCTTCAAATGTCATTTAAATTGTTATTTAGACATTTATTAACATGCATGACAAGATCATAATCGGATGATTCAGATGTTGAATGGATTGGAATAGCCTCGTCATTTAATGATAAAATGAGTAATTGAGATTTTGTTTATTATCGTGCAAACTCAAACACTCATAAAATCGCACAGAATAAATTAATTTGACTTAAATTGTCAATATATTCATTTTTAATTAAGATTTTTGAACTATTATAGCAAGAACGGCCAACTCTCACATAATGTATTTTTAATTACAAGTAAACTTCATTTGATTTGGAAAGAAAAACGAATGTCAGTATGTGACTTTTTTTTAACATAAAAACCCTCCAAAACTTAATCTTCTTTTAATTGTACGTCACATATATTTTTGCTTTTGTTCCTGGAAATTTACTTCAACAATATCAGAACCATTATTAAAAAGGACACGGAAATTAGATGTAATTCACATAGACTGGCGCCAGTGATATATTAGATTAATGCAGAGTAACAGTAAATGAATGAATATTATAATTAAAAAACATGGAACGCAAACGCACCAATTCACTTCTCTGATCAAGACACGAGCATCATCATCGTCGACACGTGGTATGTTTATATACCAGTATGTTATTCCATTCCAGATATAGGTTACACTGGGTATTACTTGTCTAACGTTAATTAATCTGATGTTGTTGGTTTCATCGCATTATTACCACCCAAAGAGCCATCTTCGTAGACATGTTATTATCGTCATCTTAATTGGTTATCATGTCATCATCGTTGTCGCTGATCTAATTTTTGGTAACCTTGCTCTGCACATTTTTCAATATGACCATGCCCATCATCGTCGTCCTCGCCATCCGTATTGTCATTACCATCAACCATCAACACCCCTTCACACTATCATCATCATCATCATCATCATGACAAATTCCAAGCTGTTTTTGATAGCAGACATAAATGTGGATAATAGTGGGGTCTTGGTGATGTTGTTAATGATGAAAGCGGCGATGATGTTAAAACATCGATTATGATGATGATAACCAATGTAATATGATCCATATTAATTAATAAGTGGTAAATACGAATTATTTTGTCACGGGTTAAGTCACTATAGATGTTGTAGTATTACAAATTATACCTGATGATGTTTTATTACAAATTGTACTTGATCATGTTTTATTACAAATTGTACTTGATCATGTTTTATTTGAACTGTACTTGCTGATGCTGTATTACAAATTGCACACCCCTGTAATATGGACCAACTCTAGTTAATGTCATAGCCAAATCTACCGAAACAAGCTGTTAATATGATGATTTAACATTACAAACTGCACTTGATTATGTAAATTGTACTTGATTATGTAAACTGTACTTGATTATGTAAACTGTACTTGATTATGTAAACTGTATTTGATTATGTAAACTGTACTTGATTATGTAAACTGTACTTGATTGTGTAAACTGTACTTGATTATGTAACATTACAGTCTGTACGTGATGTAAACGTTACGTGCTGATGTAAACATTACTTGATGACGTAGCATTGCAAAGGGTACTTGATGAAGTAGCATTACAAACTGTATTAATTAGATGACATAACAGTACAGTCTGTATTAATTAAATGATGTAATAGGCTTAATGGTAATCAAACTTTACGTGATGATGTAAACTTTACTTGATGACATAGCATTACAAACTATATCAATCAGATGACATATCAGTACACCCTGTACTATGTAAATGATGTAATGGGGTTTATACCTGACGAACTGCTAAGATGAGCAAAAAAAGTGCTTTAAAAATGTTAAAATGTTATGAAATCAGTGTTGAAATCAGATTTTGCCAACATATCATTGATCGTTTCGTCGTTTACCTTGAAACAAAATAGTGCAGCTTTACGGTTGTGCTAATATTTTTGGATATATATATAGTTAATACAGTCTTATTAATGGCGGGCATTGTTTTTATTGATGTGTTGCCATAGTAACTACGCTTCAACTTTGTAGACAGGGGGAACACGGTAGCTAAGTGGGTAAGACGCTGGCTCGCTAGCCTGGAGGTCGGGTGTTCGATCCCTGCATTGGCCGAGAAAGTTCATCCAGATTTTCCGGCGTCAGTGATGCTGTCTAGTCGTTTGGCGTGCACGTAAAAGAACCCTTGACAGTTGGAATTCGATATAAGAGTAGGCCGTAGTGCCGCTGTCCGGGCAAAATTTCCCTCATAGCACACTGTATGGCGTATGCCCGTCTTCATTAGCCCACTTCTGAGCAAAACAGTAGGACGTTAAACCCCATTTACTTTCATTTCATTTTCATTCATTTGCATACCTTTCTTGGTCTTCTGCTTGGATGCCGTTATGCTATGAGGGAAATTATGCCCGGGCAAAGAGGAACCACGCCAGCAAATCTGTGGTAGGCAACCGGAGGACCTGGAGAATACCCACGAGGTAGGACATGCGACCCTAATCCTTGTCACGTACAAGCGGGGAGCGGCCGTGGCTCAGTAGTTAAACCCAGGGTCGTACCTAGCTCAGAGCAACGAGGGGGTGGGAAGTGTTTTCAGGAGTTCTGTACAATCCTTGTCACGTACAAGCGGGGAGCGGCTGTGGCTCAGTGGTTAAACCCAGGGCCGTAACTAGCCCAGAGCAACAAAGGGGGGCGGGGGTATTCTCAGGAGTGCTGTAAAATTGACGGACAATGTATATCTATTGTTTTTATGGTCGACAATGTTTTCATGGGGGGGGGGCGAAACTTTTTGCAGGCTTCGCCCTCCGTACGCCCCCCTCCTGCCCCCTGCCCACCCCCTTAGTTACGGGCCTGGTTAAACCCCGATTACATTTGATTTTCTTATAGCCAGTATTGGAGAATCGAGGCTACAATATGGCAGAATAAGGACGACCATTAGTCTCGGTCACCCAGAACGTTCTAGTCTTCAAAGTACGTGGTTCCGTCAACATTTGACAAAAAGTTCCATTGCCCATGCATGGCTGGGAGTTTGGTTTTTTATGTGGTTGATTATCCAGTAAATTTCGCCAAAATTAAGAGTTGTGCCCCTTCTCGAAATAAATCCCATAATTCATGCATTATTATAAACAGACATGAATAGTGACGACGAATTAGGGTTAATTTGGAAACAGAGATATGGTCCCTGAAGAGAGAAATTTTAAAATAAAAAAATATGTGTTTTGGATATTGAACTGGATTTTTTTCTAAAATGGCAATTATTTAGGGCTAGTTACCTTAGACTGTGTTCATAATAATGTGAAAGACCGGATAATCTAGCCAATGACCTATTATTCTCAAATGCTGACAACCCATCCAGACTAATATTCGTAGAATATTTGTCTGAATAACAGAGACTAAACGATCATGTGATAGCACAAACATGCGCTTTGTCGTCGAATGGCGAGCGAAGGGTGTATTCGGTAAACCTCGGCAGATTCCGGTACCCTACATCTAACCTCGGTTGTATGACGAATTCCGCCATTGGAACTACTTTCAAGTTCCTGGGTTGCTTTACCTCAAGAAACTGTATATTGTCTGTTATATACTTCCGATAGCAAACGCTTACATTCTTTCAAGTTTATCCGATTTTATTTAAACAAAGGACAACTTTGCAATGAAAACTGTTCATACCCGTCTTCACAAGTCCAGCTGGTACAGAAAAGTAGGAAGTTAAATTTCATTTTATTTCATTCCTTACTATAGTTTTTTAGAAACCACCCAAGGTGTAGCAACGCTACCCTTTCTAACCAGCCCACTCGGTAAACCTCGACAGACTCCGGTACCCTACGGATTAAAAATGGCGGCGCCCATGAAGGCTCCCATGAAGAGTGTTTTAACAAACAAAGCTTTCAATGTCTGAAGCTGTTTTTCCTTCAGGTTTATCCGATTTTCTTTAATCAAAGGACAATTTTGCAATGAAAACTCTACACACTCTTCGAACGAAGCCATTTTGAGGTTAGTTGGAGGGTACCAGAAAATGCCGAGGCTTGCCGAGTGGGGTGGTCAGAAAGTGAATTTTACAGAACTAGATAATTTCAAAAAATCAGATTTATTTTCAGTTTGTGTTACACAGCATTAAGATAAAACACGTTCCTCCAAAGACACCAAGTACAAAACAAAACGAGTCTTCAGTTCATAGACACGTTTCACTTACGACCGAAGAAAATGCGCAGCGCGTCATCTAAACATGGGTATTCATCCGGAGTAAATATTCCGTTTGAATCTGTATCACATAGCTCGTACATCTGCATAAAGGCTAAATCCATATTGGAACGCTTCGCCACTGTATTCTGCCTAGAAAAAAAAGTTTACAAGACATAAGCCAGAGCAATTAACAGAAATTTTATTGAGATTTGGGATCAATAAATAAACCAATTCTTTTTGTTTTCAAAGGAATTATCAGTGAGCCGAAAATCGCCGTATATCCATTATCGCTTTCAACTTTAGTCAGTTGTATATAAATATTAGCGTCACTTCCGGTTTGGTAATCTACGTTACACTCGGCAAACGTCGGCTGACTCCGCTACCCTACATCTAGCCTAGGCTAAATGATGGTAAGTGATATGTATCTACACCGATAAAATTGTGATGTGGTTACTGGTTTTCTTATTAGGAAAACCTACCGCTTTTAGAAAGAAAGAAGTTCCCAAAATGACGTCGTTCGAAGAGCGTGTAGAGTTTTCATTGCAAAGTTGTCCTTTGTTTAAAGAAAATCATATAAACTTGAAAGTATATAACAAACAATATACAATTTCTTGATATAAATGGGCGCCGTCATTTTTAATTCGGATACTTGAAAGTAGTTCCAATGGCTAAATTCGTCATGCAGCTAAGGTTAGATGTAGGGTATCGGAGTCTACCAAGGTTTGCCGACTGCTCTTCGTTACACATCTACCGTAGTAATGATCTATGTGTTAATAATATATTTGGAATATGTTTAACCCGTTCTATCACATATGTAATAGTGGATGATACCAACATTGTCCCTTAAGTGGCGTTTAGTGACTGAATGAGAATAACACATGACACAATTATATGGAATACAGGTTAGTTAAAGTAACGATGCACCGATGACATTTGTCTCTAAAATGTCAAATTTCTTACGGCTTTATCCACGCTGATATTTTCTCAGATTGATTATTTAACATTTAAATAAAGAGCTGGTAGTTCTTGTTATAATAGTTCCAAAATAGATATATCAAAATTAATATATTGAACATTTCTTTCAAATTACTTTATTTTGAGCTAAATTATGGCTGTCTGAAGTTCTGACAAGATGTGGCATAGATTGTTTATTATCCTAGCAACGTTACATGTTAATCGAGCCATAGCCTCGCTTCTCCATTTTTTAATTAAATCAATAAATGACTCGTATTTCAATCCGTTTAGATCCGATGATCTAGAAGGTTGATTGTAGGTTTTTCATGTGAATAAATGTCTAAATAATAATTTATATAACATTTGAAGCCAAAAAATGCATGTCCCAATTGGATTCAATCGGATTTAAAACAAAATGGCGACGGGCTTATTACGCGAGCAGCACAGATCTATGAAATTTCCATTCCACAGAACTTTGTAAATACGGAACGAATTGAACCATTATTGAACTGATATTCCTATTAGAGATTTATCCTTCACAATATTGTAGTTTGCAACTAATTGCTATTGCTTAAAATCGTCTCCAGAAAAAAAAACTTCTTAAGTAACTTGTATTCGATATAAACGTGTCACGTGTTATCCTTGAACCCACGGATGAATCTGTACTTAATATATATTTCATATAAGAAAAAATAAAACTTACAGATAATTTGGATAGTCGACGTGAAAAGCTAAACAGGAAATGACCAGATGCAATAATATCAACGTAATGGCGGCGACTCGATAGCAAATCATTACTATTTTACCTGAAAATATAAACATTTATACACCATTAAAATATAAACATTTATACCCCGCTTAAATATAAACATTTTTACCTTAACAAAATATACCCCGCTTAAATACAAACATTTATACCTTATACCCCGCTTAAATACAAACATTTATACCCCGCTTAAATACAAACATTTATACCCCGCTTAAATATAAACATTTATACCCCGCTTAAATATACACATTTATACCCCGATTAAATATAAACATTGATACCTCAACAAAATATGCCCTGCTTAAATATAAACATTTATACCCCGTTTCAATATAAACCATTATGCCCCATTCAAATATAAACATTATGTATACACCGTTGGGGTTTCCATGTTACATAAAGCGATATGCTTCACCCGTTCGTTAAATGTTGGCACCAGCTGTTACCACTATTTGTCATGTATTTTGTACACGGTGAACAGTCCATTTGCTGATTACACTATTTTGCCTATACCGTTTTTTTAGGACTTTGAATTTTGTCTAATGGTTTGGATTGTTCGTACTTGGTGTTATTTTATTCCCTTCATTTCATATTAAAAATATTATCTTTTAAAGATACATTATGGGAGATTAGATAAAGAGCTGGCAGTTCTCACTATAATAGTGAAATACTAGATACTGTAAAGGCAATTTGCTGAAAATTTCAGTCAAATTGATCCACTCTGAACCGAGATTTTAGCGACTGAACTTTCGGCCTAACCTTGATCATTATTACCAAAGTCGGTACGATAAAAAGAATATAGTCTTGATTATCCATTTCATGATTAAATCGAACAGCAAATCAGAACCTAATCCAACAAACATTGCTGGCTAGCGATGCTATCGAGTGTTGATTATGGCCTAATGTCTAATAAATATTTAGATAACATTTCAGGCCTAAAGAAAGGCCTTCAATAGGCAGATTTAACTCTTTCATAATGCAGATTCCACGCTATGATTAGCAATGAAACAATAGTAACCTTATCAACACCTATCTCAATAAAAACATAAAACGAAAGTGGTTGTTGGATAGTTACAATTGGGGAACTGCTTAAATAAAATACATAGATTTTAAATTACTTAATCGTTGTCGATTGGAAAAGATAAAACGTTGGAAAATGAAATGAAATGGGGTTTAACGTCGTACTGTTCTGCTCCGACTGGGCTAATGAAGACGTGCATACGCCATACAGTGTGCTTTGAGGAAAATTGTGCCCGGACAGCAGCACTACGGCCTACTCTTATATTAAATTTCAACTGCCAAGCCAAGAAGTCTTCTACGCGCACTCCAATGTTTACACGGGAACTCGGGTTTTCGTCCCATGCGAAAGACTATACGTTTTCCCTTGTTAGGCCCTCGGTCCTACACCACTGACAAGGGGGAGAGAGAGAAGTGGGGTTTAACGACAACTCGACACAAACTAGGTCAATCCGGGACTAGCATATGGTTCAATTTTATTTCAATAATTCGCTTGCGCGTAGGGGTCTTTAGCAGTGCGAGGAAACCGGAGGACCCGGAGAAAACCAACGAGGTTGGAAAGGTGACCCTGCTCCGTGTCACGTACAACCGGGGAATCGAAACCACGCCAGTTGACTCAATGACAGGCTTTATGATATAGCGCGCACGTGCTAACCATTCGACCATCCTACCCACCAGTTTTGAACGAACAGGTGAAAATATTTCAAGTATAAATAAATTGGACTCACCTTGATAAAGAACTTCACACCAGATCTCGGTAAGAACAAAAACAAGCGACTGATACAATATTTCAAAACTTTCTGATCGCCTGCTGTATACGATGTCAAATTTAAACAAGATTCCTGCGACGAAAATGGTATTAATTATTGCGTCCTTTAAATGACTTTCTTGTAGTGGTAATTTTCCCAGTACGAAATTCTTTTGCTTAAAAGTCAGTTGTAATTTCTTTATCTGAGCTTTTGATGTACTTTCACCGAGTTGTTTTGCCACCTCTGGAGCTACTTAACTTACAAATATTAATATAGCTGAGGGTTCCACATTATAAGCAGTCTCCCACCCACACTCCACATCCCGTGTCTCTCATAAACAACGTCACACGCTATTATCATAATATGTCATCACTTAAAACCTCGCGTGTGTGTCACTAATTAAGGTGGTCGAGGATGACAAAGGTACATCTTTATTGACGGTTTGTCATTAGGTGGTCAGATAAATAATTACACTCATGCACAGTAAGATTGTTAACAGTGTCGACATATTAAATGGTTATACACACCGTAAATGAAAAGAAATAGGGCCTAACGTCCTTTTATTCTGCTCCGATTGGGTTAACGAAAACGGACGAGCGCCATACAGTGTGCTATCTGGGGAAAGTTTGTCCGTACAGCAGCACTAAGGTCTACTCTTATATCGAATTATAACTGCCAAGGGTTATTTTACGTGCGGGCTAATGTGTTCACAGGGCCTCGGGTTTCGTCCCATCCGAACGACTATACGTTGTCACTTGCCAGACCCTCTGTCCTGCAAGACTGTCAAGGGGGGACCACACCGGAAAATCACGACGGACTTTCTCGGCCAAGACCATGATCGAACACGGTTTCCCCAGGTTAGCGAGCCAGTTTCTTACTTATTGGGTCACTTGTTAGATGAAATGAAATGTGGTTTAAGGTCATATTGTTCTACTCCGACTGAGCTAATGTAGACGGACATACGCCATACAATGTTGCCATATCGCATTTCAACTGTCAAGGGATCTTCTACGTGCACGTCAGTGTGTACAGGGGACCTCAGTTTTTCGTCCCATCCGAAGAACTAGACAGCTTTCCGTTCCAGGCCCTGTGTCCTGTACCACTGGCAAGGGGAAACCACGCCGGAAAACTCCGATGAACTTTTTCGGCCAACACCGGGAGCGAATCCGCGACCTCCAGGCTAGCAAGCCAGCGTCTTACAAGCTCAATTAGATGCTTCACACGTTAGTTTGTTCGACCCGCCTCCCCTGTGGACACGCGCCATGTTGAAGACATGTGACGTTATTGGTAATGACAGGAAGATCAAGCAGGTGCCCGTCATCAACTATAGTTAACAGATAATCCACGAGATGAACAGATTGACAGATACTAGACTAATGGTGGTGTTTTTGTAGAAATAAACATCGACGAGGCGGTATTTTTAGACAGACGAAACATTAAAACATGGCCACGAACGTATATTGAAGTCCGTTTGCTTTGCAGATTATTTGTTACTGGAGGAGGACGGCTAGTTTTAGTCTCCATGAGATAATAGAACAAAAACAAACGAACGAGAAACTCACGAACCACGTATATAAATGCAATCAATTCGAGGTAATTAGCGGATCATCCTTTTGGCTGTAAAAGTAAAGAAGGCGGATGAATAAACAGAAATACGTAGGAAACAATATCGGCAAACAGTTGGGAATTTAAAGTGACTATAAGTCTCTAACTCAATATCATCCAAAGTCTTCGACATTAAAAACATGAATTATTTGTCAATTTAAATCAACACTGATACTGTGATCTTATCGTGTACCATAGTGCGTTTCAGTGCCATTTGTAACAACGGACTCGAATTACATATTTAACAAGTCATGTCCAACGGTGACGTCGTATTCGCATCAGGAGAGCCCACGCAATAAATACTTTCGGTGTAGACGCTAGAGATTGCCATTCGACTGAGACTTCTTGCGTATTTTGCCGAACATAACTGATTAGATATTAGAGTAAAACTAGAAACGATAGAATGTAAATCAGTTTATTTAAATTCATATTACATTATTGTATGGGTTGGGACCCATTTGTGTCAGTTTGTACGTCTCAGATATTAGCGATTTAGTTCCTTTAAGAAGAGTAGACAGAAACAGTATGACATTAGCCCGGTTGGTTCTAAAAAGTAGGACGTTAAACCTGGTTCATTTCTGAATAATTTTTTTTAGGGTGAGGTCAGGCCTCGAGTTCACAAAACATTCTAATTCTTAAGTTAAGAATTTACTCAAATTTTTTCGCAATTATTGTAACTAAAATATAGCCCTTTATAAAACGTGTGTTGTTTTAATGTATCAAATACATAAATGAATGTCTGTGTAAAAGTTTTGTGTTTCTGGATCAAAGATATTTCTCATATACAGTGATTGAAAGTTGAGTAAATTCTTAACTTAAGTCTGAGAATACTTTGTGAACTGGGGCCTGGTTTTTCTATCTGCCCACTATCAAACGTAATATTAGAAAACTGCACAGTAGGACATTAAACCCCATATAGTTTCATCTCCAAAGTGTTTTGGGTTTCTGACGGCTGGATCTTTCCGCCATCCCAGCTAGTCTATTAAGCAGTCACATTTTGAAAATGAGAATGCGTGCAGCGGTCTGACGTGAGTCCGTACCATCAGTTCAGTTACTGCAGCGTTATCACTTTTGGCAATAAAACTTATGTAATTAATATATATCAAAATAAACTCTCATAAGTAATCATAGGGCATCTGTTCGTCTTTCCTCCATAATGTGGGCAATATTCACAAAGGGTGGTGTAGGGAGGAATTTAAGAGTTATTGGAGTTATCTCATCCTTTAAACTTCGGTGCAATATGGCGCCCATAACAGATACTGTTCAATTAACCGTAGAACTCTTGCACACTACATGCAACTACTTGCAACTGGAATCTTAGATGGCTTATTGGCCGTCCTGCCACCCATCTATAGTCAAACGGAATCAAATGACAGCATGTGATCAGTACAAAATGGATGACGACGCTATAATCCCTTCTGATGCCCACTGTATCTTCATACACTGTTTGAAATCGCAGATATGTTACAAGTTACAGATACATTCTGGGAGATTAGATAAAGAGCTGACAGTTAAAAACTAAATAATGTAAAGGCAATTTGCTGAAAATTTCTGTCAAATTGATCCACTCTAAACCGATTATTTAGCAATTGTATTTTGGGCCTAGCCTCGATCATCCTTATTAAAGTCGGTACGATAAAAAAACAGTCTCGATTATCAAGTTTTTATTTAATCAGAAGCAGCAGACCGGGATTCACTCCAGTAAATATCGCAGACTAGCGATGGCATCGAGAGTTGATTATGGTCTGGATAAAAGATAACATTTCCGGCCTAAAGAAAGACCTGCAATTAGCAGATTTACGAGCGCAGCTCTTGCATAATGTATGTTTTGTAAGACTTTGGACACTTTGGGGCTAAAATTATTGGGTCTTTGAAAGATTGTTGCTTCACTCTTTCTATAGAATAATCCCACGTACTAATAAAACCGGACGACATGTTTATATGTAAACAAAACAGTGATATTTTGGTAAAATCCTAACCATTGTCAAAATATCCATCAAATTCTATCTGTTTATGACCTATGGTTGGTAGGCCAAATAAGGTAATGTTCTCTCCCCTGGTCTTCGGACATGGGGACGTTTATTCCATATTTGGGATGGAAATTAACGATAAAAACAATCTAGGACGTGCAGAAATTAGAAGGTTATAAAGGAGGGCGTCGAGCGAGACTGGTCAGAGCTCACCCAGGTTTTCCGAGCAGCTATCATTTATTGAGGAGGGACCTTCGAAGCCATTCCAGCTTAACAGTAAAGTTGTTGTAGGAACCATTTAACCTGTAGTGTTATATATTACGATCACGGAGAACACAAGGAAGTCCAATATTACTACAGTTTAATTGGTCAATTAAAATTAATGTCGACGAAAGCTATCGGCCATGTGGTAGGTTGTCGTGGGATAATTTCATTGTTGTAGAATGGTTAATGTTACTAGTTACAATTACTTAATGTCAAGTATGGTACGCTGGTGGACTTTAAATGGCGGGAGTTAAAATTAACGATCACAAATTTAGATAGGAACTGAAGCTAAAGTGACACTTGTCGGAGTGATTTTGGGTGTGAAATAGCCATAGGAGCCCGATCAACTTGGGGAGAGGTGGCCGAATGGTTAGCGCGTGTGCGTTGTATCATGAGGTTTGTCATTGAGTTAATTTTATTTCAACAATTCGCTTGCGAGTAGGGGTCTTTAGCAGTGCGAGGAAACCGGAGAACCAGGAGAAAACCTACGAGGTTGGACAAGCGACCCTACTCCTTGTCACGTACAACTGAGGAATCGAAACCCCCGCCAGTTGACTCACTGACAGACCGTATGATACAACGTGCACGTGCTAACCATTCGGCCACCCAATCCCCCTCTTCACTGATGAACTAAAAAACGATGATGCACAACTACTCTGGAGTAACGCTTGACACTGTTTATTACACGATGCTCGATATATTGATGGAACCAATAATGTTCGATGTCATGGGATTTCGGGCACTTTATTTGGCCGACTAGAAGGCAAAACGTTGTTTTCCCTCGAACAAATATGTATATAAAAAAAAATTTTGTACGGTACTTCAGGCGTCTGTGCCCGAAATATCCGCTGGCCCGTATCGCCACTCGTACACCTATGTCGCTTAAAAGTGGTGTGTGATAAAAACAAATCGAGATTTCTTGAGGGTGCAAACACTTTGTGCGTGATTTTCGTACAATCTTAGGCAATTATACAGTTACGGTCAGATATGCGCTAAAAAAAATCAAATTCATTTGAGATCTTTGAACGAATGTCCAGACGGACGGACATGCAGGTGGGGCAGACGACTGGAACCTCCATTCCACCCCACGGAATCAAATCATGCGGCCAAGAAAGAGATAGCAATTTACCGAGGAACCCCGATTGAAATTGTCTCAGCATCGATAATCCGCTAATCAATTACAATAACTGTATGTACATGTAGATTATTGATAAGTTTATTCTGGTATTAATTAGTCTTATGTCTATAAATAATCTACAATGTCTCCAATATTTTAAAGGAAATAAACAATTTCCGGATATACCGTTTAAGGCGAAGAGTGACCAACGAATGGCTAAATGTAATTAATCTGAAAATAACACAGCGCTATTTATGGTAAATTTTAATCAAATGATA